CGTCGAAGATACAGCAGGAAGTTTCTCAGCTCCAACAAAAAGCCAAGTACAGCATGCTCCTAAATAAATCACACCTTTACAGTTCTAATATCCAGATAAAATCAATACACAGAGCTATGGATTAAACAGCATAAAGCCTCTCTGTCCTGTATTATTCACCAGAATGCAGGGATAACTAGAGGGGCAAACGAACAGCACAGACAAGATCTCCAAAGAACAGGACTCAAAATTATGAGCACAAGACAACAGTCCATGATCACATGCCCATGAAAGTGGCTTCACAGATTCAGCAGAGTAATGCTGATTCATACTGGCCAAAGATGCATCTCAGTCTCTTATTTCTCTAAGATTTCTTTTGTAACAGACAGCTCAAGCCAGTTAAACATTCTAATCCTAAAGGCTAAGCAGGGTGATACCTTTTCCAGGCAATTAAAAAACTTCTGATGCAAAACAAAGCCACCAGTGCCTCTTTCACAGAAGTCTCAAAGTCTCAGTGCTCACAGCATCCTTACTGGAAGCAAATCAGTGTTCCTGCCAGAGTGACCACTATTTAAACAAGGCCATTTGTTCTTCCTCTCCTCATGATGCTATCTTATCACAGCCCAAGTGTTTTATATCAGCACACTGAAATGATGTGTAATGAACAAGGATGTTCCAGATAAATTCTGAGAGTCACAAAGCAAATACTTCCTTTCTCTGTAAACAATATGACTGAACCCACTCCTTGAAGAAATCAAGCTATATTTATATTCACCCTCTTGAAATGCTACAGGCAGCCATAGAAGGATAAGTTTATAATAAATTGCTATATTTGGAAACCTTTGTTGCTAAGCATCTTCTAACATTCAGTACAGTTTATACCATTCATGTCCCTGCTACATAATTAACATTTCATATGTTTTAGTTTTTTTTAAAAAAAGAAGCACGGTGTTTATCTTTGCCAATAAATTAAAACCATTATAATTTTTTAGGGAATTAATAGAAGACCACGTGGCAAATTAAATAAAGGAGAGGCAAACAAGATCTCAAGGGCATACAAACACTGACATTATATGCAAGGATATGGCAGTCTGTCTTCTATACACTCCTCTGCTTGAGATAAACCAATTCAGAAGGCAGCTGTTCACACTAAAAACCAGTCTAATAAATAATTTAGGATACAGTAAACCTCTCCCAACCTGATGAATATGACTTTCTCAGCTACACACATAAACAAGCCATTTTCTTGTCAAGAATTCTCTGTGTGTGAATCCCTTGGATGGTACTCAAGTCCTCAGAAGTGTACCAAGAGGATCCCACTGGGAGGTGATGTCCATGGGATGTGGCCCAGTGCCCACCAAGGAATCTGCAGGTTTATCACACTTGGCTGTTAACTTCTGCGTAAATCACAAGGATCTTGGCTAGGCAGTAGAGAATCACAGCAAATCTTAATTTCTTCAGTGTAGCCATTAGAGATATTGTAACCCTGGACATGTAGATATCCTATAAAAATCCGTTTTGTGGTTTAATTTTTGTGAGAGGCTAGAGCTGTATCTTCAGTGCAGGAAAAGGAGAAAAATCCACTAATATTTTAAAAATTCAGCAGATAAAAACACTCTTAGCAGATTATTATAAGCATCTTCATATAAAAGTTTCATAGATTTTGATCACAATACCCTGTTTGGGAAAGTCCAGATCACACTGCACAGGTTCTCCAGGTTCCTTGTCCTATTTTCCTCTCCCTGTCCATCCCAGCATAGACCACACCACAATTCTGTACACACCATAGTCACGGGGGCCTAGAAACATTCAACACAAAATGAACACTACAGGCCCCCAAAATTTCTTCAGAATTCCCAGGAAAACGCAGAGTTGCTGAAGAGAACAAACTTGCCTGTCTGACCCCAGCAGTACCACTAAGCAAATCCTGCACTGGAGAACAAACAACTTCTGCCAAAAAAACCACAGTTGGAATATGTTTAATTCTACAGTGGTTACTTACTTTCCATCAAAAAATGGTCTTCAGAACTATATAGAAGGCAAACATCAAAGCTTTTATAATGAAGTATCTTAGGAAACCTGACTAGAGATGCAAAAGCCCTACAAATACTAGATTTACCATGCCACTAATTACTACACCCTTGGTTTATATAAGCAGTATATACACAATACATGTGTTAAAAAAACAGAGTTGAAGTAGAAAGATAAGGAAAGATGAGTCCTCTGGAAAATGATCTAAACTTTGTATTAAGAATATAAACATATTTAGCTTGCAAACTTGCAGTCTTTCCAGCCATGAACCCAAGGATATAAATGGGGTATGCAGGACCCGAGAATCTCCCACAGACCACAACAGAAATACAATCAGCAAGCAACAGCAATCCTGTGCCAAAAACCAAACATTCCTGAGTTCTGAAATCCTTTTTCTAAGCTAGTTTCCACATTTCACCTGTACTTATACACACATCAAGTCTGAATGTGGCACAGATAACCTTAATATTTGTGGAAGAATTCTTAGCTCGGATGTTGTCTCAATACCAAGCATTTTGGACATTTAGAAATGTGCATTAGTCACCTTAACTATATGTTTATACCATGTTTTATGCTGTAATATATATATATGAAATGCTATATTCAATTCTAAGGCCTACATCACCAAAAAGGTTATTGACAAACTGGAGGCAGTTCAGAGAAAAATCAACACAGTTTCTCGGAAGGCAGGAAGGACTTATTTATGAGAAAAGATTAAAAGAGCTAAATATTTATAGTTTGGCTCAGTAATGAATGAGGAGGTAGGGGACATGAGAACAGCCTAGAGATATCTGAAGGGTGTAAACACGAAGGAGGGAGAGCAAACGTGTTATACAAGGATGTAAATAGAAATAATGGGATAAAACTAAACAAGGAAAGCTTAGGCTGAATATCAGAGAGCATTCCTGGACAGCAAGCTAGTTTGGCCCACAGCACAGTTTCTGAAGTGAAGCAATAGGAGCCCATGTATCTTGGAACAACACAAAAAGCTAGACAAAACACTGGAAAATTTGCCATATGAAGGAATCTTGCTCTCCTGAGGAGAAACAGTAGATTATAAGAGTCTTTGCTAAGTTTAACTCCAGTGGAAGCAGTAATCTTTTATAAGGCGTTGAAAACTTAATATAAAAAGCAGATAAAGAGCTTAATTGGGGGAAAAATAAATACCCCAACTAAGAACGTTCCTTAGTGATGAGCAACTTAAGTTCAGTTTATGTAACAGCTCGACTGACTCATGCTTCTGCAACTTCTTGAAGAGGAAAACTTCAGGTGGGCTGCAAGGAGTTAAGGGCGCTGGACTGTATTTTCCCCAGCAGAGGTCACCCCACGGTAAGAAACGGCAGGGAAATCCGACAGCATGGATTCGAGCTTGAAGAAGGAAGAGCAGTAGGAAAGAGAGATCCTCCTCCCCTCATTCACACCACTGGCTTTGGATGCAAAGATCCTGGGTAACAACGTGTCCCGCAATCAGCCACAGGTCGATGCCTGAAGTTTTTTTATCCATGTAATGTTCAACCGGTGCAACATTCCAGATTTATTTTCTAAGAGGTCCTCATGAAGTGGGTAAATATCATCTATTTGCAGCTGGATTATGAATCCATCTACACATGCGTAACTAAAAGCCTCGGCTGGGTCATGTTTGGAAATGAAACCACAACACTTCTCACTGAGAACTTGAGATTGCATTAGTTAAGTGTTTACTGTTTGAGTCCTGAGACACAGGCAGACTGACAGGCTTCCAAAAACACAGCGGAAGGAAAAGGGAGCTTATCTTTTTTTTTTTAACAAATATATACAAGCAGGAAAAATAATGATGTTTTCTCACTTAAAACAGAGCTTCAAACACAACCAAAGCCAAGAAGAAAGCGCTAGAAAACGAATCATCTCATATGTTTTTATCTTCTTGATCCATAAAAACTCCACGAATTCATACTTGAGAACTATCCCTTAAAAATTCTGGAAGCTGGCAAGCAAAGACCTTGCTGTTCCAGGTGCCACCCCTAATAAACATCTGTCATCTTCACAGTCAGCTCTGATGCAAGAATTATCTGTGCTTTGTGCCACTGCCAGAGGAAGCTGTCCCGGTGCCAAAGGAAATAAAAGTAACCAGCACATGCAGCAAACTTATTTGTGAACAGGGAGCAAATACATGTCAGCAGAGCTGGACAGTCGTATTTTGACTCAGCTGTTTTAAAGGGCTGCTCACGGGCAGGTTTAAGCTCCAACACTCAAACTGTGCAGACGCACTCCAGCAAAACCTGGGAACTGATAGAGCGTACTTGCAATATTTCATCCAATGAAAACAGAACTGAAATCATGCTGAAGCATTCCCTGGAACATACTGAACTCTGTCTGCATGATGCATGGGTAATTCTCCAGGGCTATGCCTGTTCCCAAGGCCAGGAGCCACGTTCCAGCCCTCGGTACAGGGCGCGCTCTGCAGCTCTCTCAGCTCCGCTGCACAACCTGAGCCAGGTGCACACAGCGCCCTCGCCCCTGCCAGGAGCTTCTCATCTGCAGGAAAATGGAATCTGGGCACAATATATGGAAGGGAGACACAGGAAACACCACTGAGAGCCACAGCCATCCTGGGAACAAGGACCTGCAGGACAAGCTGTGCAGCCAGAGTGACTCAGGTTTTTTGTGAGCAAGGGGTTGTCTAGAGAGTAGAAAAACTCTCAGGGATGTTGGTCAACTCCCAAAACCAGGGCTTTACTGAGAGAGAGCAAGCTAAGATCCTTGAAATGGCAGAGGAGGTTCCCAAGGGTTATTGATCTAAACACTGCATTTTAAAAGTTATTAATATTCAAATAATTCTTTCCATCTGCCTGGGAAGAGACACGCTTGGCTGTATTTTCTTTGACACAAAAATTAATAAGACCTCAGTTGTTTCAAAAGCTATTAGTACAGACTGTGGATTTTTTTTTTTTTCCTTTAATAAAGAGACTAACAGTAAAGTATTACCCTAAATAAGATAAACAAAGCCTTACCTGCTTCCTTGCACAAGGCTGCCAAGTCTGCACCCACATAACCATGTGCACTATCAGCCAGATGGGCCAACTGCTCTGCTGTGAGCGAATGGGGAACCTTCTTGAGAAGCTTCTGGAGTATGTCCAGACGGTCCTGGGCATTGGGAATTCCAATTTCTATTTCCTTATCGAAACGCCCGGGCCTGCGCAGCGCTGCATCCAGGGCATGAGGGCGATTGGTGGCCCCAAGGACCAACAGCTGCCCTTCACTGCCTTCCTGAAGGCATCAAGCGACACAAAAATATTACTTTAAAAATACAATTAAATGTCAAATAGATTATACAAGAGGCACTCCCACTTTAATCCCCAAGAATCTGCTTTCCTAAATTGGGAATGAATCAAGGAGAGAAAAATAAAGGCTTAAGCTAAAATGCAGGGTTGGCACAAGAACAAAATGGTATCAGCAGACCTTGAATAAACAAGGTTGGGAAACAAATCAGTTCAGGTATCAAACCCAGCAGAGACAGGAGGTTATAAAGCTTCCTGCAGGCCTAGCAGGAAAAGCAAGGTCAAAAATCCTAATAAATTTCCTCAAGCTCTGCTTCTTCATTTTTACAATGAGGCAAGATCAGTTAGGAGGCCTCTTGCAATGTCATTCTCTTTTTGTGAATGAAACAGTCTCCAGGAAGAATATCCATCAGCCCCTGCCACCAGAAAATAAGATCTGCCTGTGAACAATTCCAGGCTGGGCAACTCAAACTGCCATGCAGGAAAATAATGAGAAACTTGCAGATTACATAAACAGAAGAAATTTATTTTCATACTCTGGACAGAGTTCTTTCATCTTTCCTGCTAATAATCATAAAATAATAGATCAGAGATTGCCAAACTTTTTGGGCTCAAACCATAATTTACTCAAGTCAATTAAATTTACTGTTTCTTTATTAGGCTTTTGTTTATGCCCTACATACTGCTCTGGCAATCTTGAAATAGCTGCTGTTGCCTTTAATCACGCAGCCCACATATCACCAGAAGTATTCTGATGACCTTGATTTCAGAGCAATTAAAAATACCTGGTTTAGTTCAGTGATGGGCTATCACTGAAATTTCAGTTTGATCTCCAAAACTACAAGGAGGGGGGAGAGAAGGCAAAGGAAAGGCAGCGAATGGAAAAAACCTACTTTCTTTTAAACTAACAGTTTTCAGGAGACAGTCCTCTCCTATGTCCTCTGCTTACCATCCAAAAAAGCATTAGATTATTCTAAAAAGTCTCACCTAAATCTGTTTCCTTTCCCCACAAGTGATACATCTCACATTGGCTCCACAGTAGAAGCAATAACATTTTGTTCAGCGAGTCCCCATGTACATTAATTGTCCCATTAGATTCAACTTACTGAGCCAATGCCATCCATTAATGTCAGGAGTGAAGCAACAACTCTCTTTTCCACTTCATTCTGAACCCCTTCTCTCTTTGGACAGAGTGCATCCAACTCATCTATAAATATAATTGAGGGGCGACTGAGGGGAAAAAAATAAAAGAGAAAGGATGTTAAGGTGCTCGGGAAGATTTAAAACACTAAGGCAGAGGAAAGCTGCTCATGGAAAACGTCCAGTTCCTACAAAAATTAACAAGCATCCCACTCCTTTAGGTAACTGCAAGTTTCAATCTTGTATAGTGTTACTCAGAGAGAAAATGAAAATCAATAATATATTAGACAAACTAATACTCTCAGTATGCAATAATCTTTTCCTAATGTACTATGAACACCAGTCACATGGAAGTCTAAAGTCTGCCTAAGCCAGGCCTAACAAACTTGGACAAGATGCCACCCTACTCCAGAAGAATGCTATATCCAGTACCAACACCAACTTGTTTAGAGCTGGCCTCCAAAGATAAAAACTAGAGGAAAATCTGGATCCTGGTGAAACTCTGGCTCATGCTCCTGTCTGTTATGAAATAAGAACACAATGCACTAACCACACAGGTCAAGCAATTTGGCACCATCCCTAACAGCCTGTTAAAAAGAACAGTGTCCTAAAGGATTTAAGAGGCATCCTAAAATCTCACTGCTTTCCTTCTAGCTAAGCTCTACATTAAGAAATTTATTTCCTTTTAAAAAGCTGATAGATAAAAAAAAAAAATTAAAAAATTACAATTCAAAGCTTCTTACAAATATTTTTCTATTAAGAACATTAAGGCTGGAACCGATACCACGAATAGAATTCCCCAAAGGAACGTACCAGAGAGAAGCCTCAGCGAATATCTGACGTAACCTCGACTCAGACTCCCCATAAAATCTGTGAGAATGAAAAGATTTTAATAAAAAAAAACTGTGTTTTTTTGTCCTTTCCAGGCAACTTGGAAAATTACTGCTCATGACTTCACAAAAAGCTGTAGCACACACATTCAAAGTCCTGAAGTCTATAATCTTTATTTCCACAAGGACCAGAAATTAAAGAAATGGGCGATAGGCAAAGTAAGAACCATTAGAAATAAAGGGAACTGCTTCTCTTCTGTGTTATAAACAGTGTTATCTACATTTTTGAAGAACAACACAGAAATTACTCCTCTGGAGACATCAGTCTGTGCAGTGTCTCCTTAATTGCAAATACACTTTAACAAGTTTCTCTTCTTGTTGCAGAACTAACCTACAGGCAACAGCAGATGAGATTTTAATCTCCTCTTTAATTCAGTCCATGCCTTACACAAATTTCCTGGCCAAGTCCAATAAACCTCTTTTGATACAAGAAACACAAGCCCGACTTGAGAGAACCCATTCCTGCTTGTTTTGACTCTTTCGGGCAGGTAACCCACACCAAATACTACATCCCTCCACAATGGACAGATGCCAGGGTATATTTTGGGCTACTGTATTTACAGAATTAATGAAAATCAAGTGGGTGGACTTACTTGCTTATGATTTCAGGGCCGTTAATGACGGTAACGTGAGCACCAACCTCGTTTGCGATGGCCTTGGCAATCATGGTCTTCCCAGTTCCTGGAGGGCCATAGAGCAGCACTCCCCTAGGAGGAGGGATCCCTTGGGATAAGCACATGCAGGCAAACAGAGAAAAGAAGTTACTGGTGATAAATACCAGGCCCAGCCTGCACTTGCACATTTCACTGTCCCTGTTATTACCAGCATTAACTTGACCTCAGCATTAATCCCCTCAGCAGAAACGTTCATTACAGTGAATTAGGCTTTCAGGGAAAAGATCACTCTTAAATGGGACATTCATCCACATTTTTTATTTCTAATGTCCAGAAAACTCTCTTTAAAATCACCTATTTAAATCATTATAATTTCAGTCATTCATTATAATCTTCACTGGTTTTTTTTTTAAAAAAAATTACTAGACTGAGTACCTAATGTCTGTGAATACACTTTAAGTTATTCACGATTCCTACAGTATCATTATGACAAATGTCACACCATCAGAAAACCCCTCCTCTTCAATAGTCCAGAAAGTCCTAGAAATACTGTGAGGCCTGATTTACAAATGCTTATAAGATGATGAAAAAACACACATCAAAAAGATGAATCTGCCTATTTAATGGCACACATTAAGAGCCAAAAACATTCAGGCACAGAACATAGGGGACTTTGGAAGAACAAGGTACTGCTGTGTATAGCTGAAATTGGTCAGAAAACACAGGTAAACTGCAAGAAACACTACCCTGATCCCTGGTAAAGAGCCCACCAAAGAAAGTTTCAGACCAGCAAAACCAAATTAAATGGGCACAAAAGCCAAAAACAGTAGTTGAAAAACTAGAAAGCAAAAAGCAGAGACAAATGTTGTACACAGGCCTGACCCCAGCACAAAAGACGCTGGTGAAACACAACCAAAGAAACATCAGGTGGGACTGGGAATCAGACAGGGAATGATGCCTCAAAAGCAGGCCACAAACCCAAATCTGAGAAACTAATACACTGGGAAAGAGAAAAACTTATCTGCCCTCTGACAAAGGATAAAAATAAAAGCATCTCTACAGACAGGTTCCTTCACTGCAGTCCATTCAAGCATGTGCTGCTCCCTCCTGTGGCGTTTCTGGCACTGGCAATACACAGGGCTGTGGAGCCACAGGCTCACCTCAGCTCCAGCCTCACTGCTCGTGAGCAGACAAGGACCCCCAACGTTTGGACGGGGCCTAAATGTTTGTAACTGCTGAGAAAACATCATCAATCATGTGATTAGGAGAGAATCAAGCTTTAGGGATTAGGTATGAAGAACACTCATGCTGAAGCAAACTGCTGCCACAAAACCATGTGGTGATGCTGGGGTTGGACCACTCGTGGATGGAGACGCCTCACACCGCCCCACTGACACCTGTGGATCATGACCAGGAAGGAGCCACCTGTGTGCTATGGAAACTGTCCCTGCTGAAATCATCTCCTCTCTGAAGTGTGTGTGGGAGAAGAGGTCTTAGAGAGAAACAAAGGGCCTCCAAGACAAGATACTAAAGAAATATTTATAGGTAGAAGAGCCCAGGAACACACAGGGATAAAAAAAAGCAGAATTAATCCGAGTTCTTCTCCATACGATTAACTGAGTCTACCAACACAAAATCGTGTGACAACACAAACAACTGCACCTTTCAAGTGTCCAGGTCGAGAAGCCTTTCCTATTTTCTATTAATTCTCCTCATGCATGCTTGAATTTTGGTACAGACACACATTTCCTCCTGCTCAACTGTTTTTCACACAGGCTAACCAGAACATCTCCACAGTATCCATACAGTGTAATTACAAAGCGGTTTGACACTGATGGGACACACAAGTTTACCAGATCAGTTACATAAAATTTGGTGCATAATCCTGGAGTAATTAATGTTTAAAAAAATGCAAAAAAAGCCACGTTAAAGAAGCAAGTTAGTGAAGAAAGCCAACTCTCAGGCATCATACCGTAACTCTTGAACAGTTCAGGTTGCTTCAAGGGCAGTTCAACAGTTTCTCTAATAGTTCTGAGCTGGCTGCTTAAGCCTCCTATCATGTCATAGGTGACGCGGGACTCACAGTCGCCATCCGCTGCTACACCGGTCCTTGGTTCAATAAAATTGATTTTAGTTCTTGAAGAAATGAAGTAAAAACAATCTGTATTGCTCATTGCTCCAATTTTGCCAGGTAGTGGGAGTCCCTCCGTGCTGTGCTCCCCAGCCAGCTCCAGATCTTGGGTGAGGTCTGCACCATCTCCTGCGCTGAAGGTTTTGTCTCTGTGCCCGGAGTCGGGAGCGCAGGGTGTGGCTGGTGAGCTTGGATCCACGGCTTTGCTCGGGGTGCTCGTGGAGGCAACCTCTGGGCTGTCACCAATGTCCATCCTGCCGAGCTGTAAGGACAGGTCTAAGGCACTGCTCTCCAAATCTGATCTCTCAAGGTCTGGCTCACTGCAGTCACCGGGAATGGCGCTGCCCTGGGCAATCAGCTCGGCACCGTCAGTCCCTTTCACTTTCATCACCACGATGTTGCAAAGCTTGCCGTAGTAAGTGAAAGCCAAGAGGTTTCCTGGCAGGACTATTTTCCCATCTATGAGAAGGTTAAAGAAAAAAAAAAGACAAAGATGATGCTATTTCAATCTATTTTGGCACAAATTAACACTCAGACATTATTACATCAGAATAATTCTTTATAGGGAAGCTTAGAAAGTGCTATAAATTAACAGAAGTTAATTAGGAGGTGATTTCAGGTTCTTTCAATGGTCCTTTTGTGCACAAGCAGGCTCTACTGGATAAACAGTTGTCAGTATCACATGTAATCTCCCATATTTAAACTCATCATTAATTTCAGCTTTTTAAACTTCATACAAAGGGCAGATTTTGGAATTAGTATTGTGAGAAGCAAAAGTTTTGTATTCACTACCTTGAATAACTTACCATGCTTTTTTAGTACACCTATCACCTAATGAAGAGCAACCTGACTTATTGACCACCAACATAAAAAAGAGAATTCAGAGATTGGGATTTCAAGTTAACGTTGATCCTTTAACTTGTTATTAATGTGCAGCAGTGAACTCTTCCTGACAGTGCAAGTAAACTCTGAAGTGCAACACAGTGTCAGCCTGAAGGGAACAGGGACAGATCCCTGAACAAAGTAACATCCCTTATTTTGCCATAAGCCCTTGATTAAGAACGTAAAAGGAAACTGTTCGCTCTTGAATCCAGAACTACAAACATTGAGCAGTCAAAAGAGAAGCAGCAAAACTCATACCAAGGTTTCTCAGTAGACAGACAGACATTTCCTCAGCATTCACGGTGGCATCTTTGTCCCTGTGGTAGGAAGGAAAAAAATTGGTTTTTTCCAAGCACTTAAAAATAAAACCACAGTCCACAGCACTTGACAGTCTTCATATCATATGGATTTAACCCTGAAGATATGAAACATATAGCAACAAAAGAAGTGTACCTATTTAATCTGGGGCTAGTTTTGCCAAACAAAATGCTGTAATTAACAAAATTTTAAGTTGTATTTATCATTTCTTAGGATCACAAATAGGCAATGCAGGCATCTCACCTGTCCAGTCACGCTAATTGTTGCTACAGGTCCTGAACTGAGAAGAATTCAGATCAGGCATGTCTTTTTCAGCCTTGTATACGCAGAGACACAACCTCTATTGACTAAAACAGTGCCTTGAGCATTTACACATCCATTAGAAAAACACTCCAAGTTTTCCCCACAGAACATTTTGCAGCCGTTCAGTTAACTGGCTCAGAGCTAAGACTCACTTCATCAGTTCTGCAGAGAGAAATCCACAAACTCTGTAAGCACGGACACCTGGGTGTGAGTTCCTGAAAAGCACTGAAAAGTGCACACTGAAAAGCGGCACCGAAGGCACTGAAAGCAGCTGCTGCAGCTCAGTGTGAACAACGGGGGGAGCCCTAAGCCTGCAAATGAAAGCCGTCTCTCGGCTTTTAAGGCTCAAGACAGCAACCTGATGGAAAACAGGTGCACAAAGTTAATTCAGAGGACACTTCTTAATAGATCATTGCCTTTCCTGATCAGTAAACACAGAGTTATGTTGTTGGGGTCTGGAGCTGGGGATTGATTCTTTTAAGTGGAGGAAAAGCTAAATTATGCATACAAGCACAACGCAGAGAATGAACTACACCTGTAAAGCACAAGGAAGTGCTTGAACAATGGGATGTCAATTTATTCTTTTAGTAATTTATGTTCTTGTTTCTTACATGAAACTATGGCTCTCTGGACATCAGGAGGAATTTCTTCCCGGAAAAAAAAATCTGCAACTGACTGCCTAGGAGCTGTGATGTTAATTTAAGTGCTAGGACACTTTCAAAAGTACCTGTAAAGTAACTTCATTTAGGAAATAACTATAATCAGACTCTGCAACAATCCAAATGCCAATTCTGTGAAATGATAAGAGGATGACAAATTTTGAAGGGAAGTGGTTGAATGAAAACCTCAATAAGGTGATATAACAAGTTCCATACCTCAACTTTACATCGACTTCCTCTGCCTGGATGACTGCACCAGTCACAGGCTGCACAGTGACAGCATCACCTGGATTTACTTTCAGGTTCTTCTGCGTGGTTTCACCCAGCCCAATTCTCCCCCCTGGGAAGCCTGTGGTGGGCCAGGCAATACAGACCTAGGAAGAGTTTTCAAAGCAAACAGCTGTCAGTTGAGGTCTTGGCCCTCTCATTTCCAGTCAAGGTAAGCAATGATTTAATATGAAGGATTAGGTTAAAACCTGGTCCCACTGAGCAAGACACAAGGGACACTTGTGAGCTTAGATTTGATCTAAGACACTTTCAAAATTGAAGGGGCTGTATTTTGCTTACAAATGTGATAAAAAATTCCACCAGGACTCTCTACACATTCTGCAGATAACTCAAAAGCATACATTGTGCTGATCAGAAAATGCTACCCGTCAGTGAAAAAAAGATGAGCAAATAGCTATACACTTTATTTGCACATAAGAGATGTGTGTGCTTATGCGAAATATAATATATACCCCATCTATTCACACGTGACTTATCAATTTATAGAAAAAAAAAAATATCAGCTGCATGGATTTTTCCAACAGATATAACTACAGCGTAGAAAAGGCAGAAGAGCACGTTCACCATCTTCCTCAATGCACGATCCATGCTGGTTCCATTAAATTTAACAAGAACAAGCTAATAGAACAGGAAATGTACTTATAGGGTCAAGAAAGGGTCTCACCTCCTGCCGCCCCTCAGCGGAGGTGAGCAGGGCCGGCCTCCCTATGCAGAGATCCGCCGATTTCATGCTGTTCAGCGACAGCTGTGCCAGAGCTCTACGCAGCATCTTCGGGACTTTGTCATCTCCTCGAAAGAAAAAAAAAACAAATAAAGTTTGTTGGTTTTTTTTTCTCCCCTTCCCCTCAGTACACCCGGCGTTTCCCGCGCTCCCCGACAAGCACAACCTCGCTCGCCCTCAGAGGAGCGAGCGGAGCTCCGTGAGGCGCAGCCGGCGGGACTGGGAACACGGGCGGTCCCACGCTGCCGCTCGGCACTGCCCCATCCACCGCGATTCAGCTGCCACCGGCATTTCCCCTTCCACGGGGATAAGAGCAGGTTTGCTGGCAGCCTAGACTGAAAGACCCCCAGCCCCGGCCCCGCCTTCCTGAGGAGCCAGGAGCGCGGCTGGGCAGAGACTCCGATTCAAACGAGGCGCCCTCAGCGCGCCGTGCTGAGGCAGCCGGGGCTGGGGCTGCCCGTCCCCGCCTCCCGCNCCCTGAGCCGCGGCCCGGAGGTGAAGGGCGCTGGCAGGAGGGAACAGGGGGTCGTTCACAGAACCATAGAATAATTAGGTTTGGAAAAGAACCTCTGGAGATCATCCAGTCTGATCGCCCGGAGCAGGTGGCACAGGAGTGACAAACCACAGCAGGTGGGTTTGGAATGTCTCCAGAGAAGGAGACTCCGCGCACCCACTGGGCAGCCTGTTCCAGTGCTCTGCCAGTCTCAGTGTGAAGTTGTTCCTCGTGTTGAGGTGAAACTTCAGGTGTTTTCAGTTTGTGGCTATTGTTCCTTGTCCCATTACTGAGCACCACTGACAAGAGTCTGGTATCATTCTCTTGGCACCCACCTTTGACATACTTGGATTGGATGGATGTGGTCCCATCTGAGACTCATCTTCTCCCGGTAAACAGGTCCAGCTCCTGCAGTCTCTCCTCATAGAGAGATGGTCTAGACCTCTCATTCTTTTTGTGGCCTCCACTGGACCACTCTACTAGTTCCTTGTCTTCCTTGTACTGAGGAGCAGAGAATGGGACACAGCACTCCAGAAGAGTAGTTTTCCCTGTTTCTCATGGCAGACCCAAATGGAAAAGCCATAATTTTGCACGTGAACACCAAGTAGTTGCACATGAAATGTTGAGCTGGCAGCCTCTGAGACTGCTGGTGAGTTTCTCCCTCCACCAGTAGTTTTACCCTGTGGTAAATAACGTGGAAAATACAGATTTTTGCACATTACTGATAGCACTAGTGTGTGGTAAAGTTCAAAACAGTGCAGATCAAGGGCAAAGGGATCCCTGACCCTCCTCACTTCCCTCTCTTGCAGAGTCAGTGTCTCAGTGGCGGGATGAAGGCCGTGTTGCTGTCTGGCTCCATGTCCCCATCCTCCAGAGCAGCCTTGTGGCAGTGGCTGCTTCCCAAGGCTTTGCTTTCCATCACGCTGAGCAGGGCTCATCCACCCTGACACTGTGGCTGGGAGAGGGGCCCAGCAGGCTGCCAGGCTTCGCCACACACCAGCTGGGGGTTGCAGGTGAGTTATGGGAGCGGTTGCACCCTCAGAAAGTCTTAAAGGAGCCCTTGGGAGCCTGTTCAGTAGGAATTGTTCCTCTGTACAACCAGCACATGGAAACCAGCTGGCTCCTGCATTTTGGAATGAAAAAGTAACCACCAAAGTAGAGAAGAAAGCACTTCTCTGCTCCGTGTGCTTAGTATGTGTATTTATCTAAGCTATGTTCAAGTTAATGTCTGTAAATGGAGAAAACTTGACCCAACAGAGATTGTTGAGAAGCTAAAGCATCTATTAGCCTAAACTGCAATGGTCTGAAAGCTGATCTAAGCTGCCTAAGTGCCTAGGAGTCTTAAATCCAAACATATCTTTTACAAAAAAAACCCAACAAAGGCCATACTCTTACCCATCTAGACCTCCCACAACCACAGCTAGAAAGCTGTTCCATAACTGAGAAAATTTCCAAGGATTTAGACAAGACAGTTTCCCTTTTTTTTTTTTTTATTTTTTCATATAGCACAGCACAAGGGACTGATAATAAGCCAGTATTAATAACTAAGTGAAATTAGCTTCACCAAATTCCAGTGGTTGCGTTCTCTCACTCAGCAGAGTTCCACAGCTAAGCCATTACTTATCCCATTGCTCAGTTATCTGTAATTGGAGATTTGGACCCCTCACGTGCTGGTCAAGGGTTACATTAACACACTGAAATTACTGGGGAGAGCAAATCTCTCCAGCTGCAACCCTGACTTCTTTGTCCTTGGCTTGCAGAGACTCTGGGGAGTGTTACTTCTCGACTAAAAATCTAGATAGGAGGAACTCAGGAAAGATGGTTTGCTCTGTGTAGCAGCAGGTCAGGTGAAGTTTGGGGGAAAAAACATCACTACTGGGAGTCTTCCGTTCCCAGGCCAGCAGAGGGCAGGGTGGATGCTGAAGGCGGCCTTGGAGGTTGTCAATGGGCATGTTGAAGCATGTTTTCCTGAGGTATGGAAACCTCACCATTAAAATATGTGGCATTAAAGTGGAGCGGGACAGAGCATTCTCCTCGCAAAAGCACCGGGTTACTCCTTGTGAGGAAACCTAAGTGAGAGAGAGGTTTTTCTGAAGTAGAACTTGAACAGCTGAAAGTGCTGCTTGAAAGGAAATCATGCAAGAGATTGTTGTTGTGACCCTGGTGGGCATCAGAAAGAACTATAAGAAAAATCATAACTCTGAAAAACTCGCAAATATTTAAAAATGTATTTTCAGAGCATAATTTTCAGCTGTGCAAGTACTTTGTACTGCTTTGCACTCTGTAAGTAGGAGTAATCTTTAAAGAAAACTTTGGAAAGAGCAGGTATATGGATTCCATAATTTACTGTATGGATTTTAAAATGGTACAACATATAATGTATGTGTTCGTTTTTCAAACCTGTATGCTTTTAGTCTTTATTGGGATTTTCTTTAAAGGACGTAAATACTCCAGGAAAGCATTCTAGGCAGCTGAAAGTGTGAAAAGTGTAAAATGATGATTGCTATGTGGGGTTTTTTTGTCCTTTGTTCTGCTCCCTGTCAGTGGATCTGGAACACATCCCAAAAATACATGGATACCACCCGGTAGATTTTCTCCGTTATCTTTCTACTTTAGGAGGGAGACCTGGGGTAGTGGAAAGGCTCCACTATATTTTTAATTAATTTTATTGAAATATTAAAGTATTTAAATACTTTGATATTGGGGAGGGGGTCAAACACAAGGCTTTCTTTACTCCCTAACCAAAAAGTATTTTAGGACGTGTCTGCAGTAAATAAAATCAATTTTCTGGTGAGAGTCCCCATCTCAAAGCCGTGGCCAGTCAGTGAAATGCAGGAGTCAGTCCCGTGAGGATCCTGGAAATGGAAAGCAGAGATGTGGAGAGTGGCTGGCTGGCCAGCAGGAAGCCAGCACGGCAACAGGGAGCAGGTAGTGAGTCTCATTGCCAAGTAGACCAGCAGCTGGTTTTCCTCCTGTCTGGAGTTTTCCCACGCAGCAAACGCAGCACAGCCAGGGCTTGTGCCTCAGGACCAAGTGCAGCCAAGTGATGACAAAGGTGTGAATAAGCAGGGTCAGGTCATGTTTTACCAGACTGGATAGAAAGTGGCCAAGCAGAGAGTAGCAAATGTTACTCATTGGGCTTGGCCATTATTGTTTAGAAATAGTGGAATATGTGATGTGTCTCCCAGCTAAGTTACTACATCCGTTTGTAGGCGGCAGGATTTTCCACATGTGCGAAGGTACAGAGGAGTCTCTGGTGTATGAAGTGATTAACGTGTTTTTAAAAAGCATTTCCAAAATTCTCCACCTCTGAGGAGGATGTGGCCTGCCATTCAGCAAGTGACATGTTTGTAAACATGCCACGCAACAATGGCATGAGAGGACAAGCTGAGGAAGGAAAGTAAAGGGAGAGGAAGAAAAGTGAAAGGCATTTCCTTCCCCCTCACATGCTCTACAAGCCTTACAACACAGCTGTTACTTGCATTGCTACCACCTTAATCCACCTGTTGAAACAAAGTCCTTGGAGTTGAAGGACTCCGGGAAGGAGAGCCTACACACACATGGGATTGTCAGCCTTTGCCAGTCCTGGTACTTAGGGAAGTCTGAAACCAGCAGCTGCTTTACTGTGACTTAAAAGTAGTTCCCAAGGTGTTTCACAAATTACCTGCTCCTGTCTGCTGATGCTTATACTGCAGGCAGTGGTGTCTGCACTCATTCTCTGCTTAACAAGTGCATCTCAACACTGAAATCTTTGCATACATTTTTACATCAGTCATAAATAAAACAGGTGGGGTAAACATACTTTTCTCCTCTGTTACTCATAATCTGGAGTTATTGGAGGGATTCTTTTTTAAATGCTTTATAAAATGCTTTTCTTGCCTGTTTCCCAAAAGAGAACATCCAAAAACTAAGTGGTATTGTAATAGTGATTACCTGGTTGGGTAAAGTATAAACCTTTCCAGAAAGTCTTTCTGGCATTGGATGATTTAAATCTCCACATTTGTAGCAGGAGGGAGAGTTTTAAAAACTACAATTCAGGGCAGTCAAGCTCTAATCTCACTGATGCCAACCAGGTGTGGCCCAGTGAGGGAACAAATCCTGTTAGTGTGTTTTCTTCCCTCTTGCTCTGCATTTAGGTGTCCCCTAGCAGATATTCTGATTACCTCACTGGGAATTTCACTGCCAAAAATTACATTCACAGGCTTCAATTTCAGGGGTACAGAGAAGAGCAAACACACTTTCTGTTTGATTCAAACGGCAGTTTCCTGCCTTCATCAGTCCTCCCTGGCCTCAGCAAACACTTTGGCTGAGAAATGGCTTTTCTAGAAAACAAATCCTCTAATCACAAAGTTCCTTCTGCTTTCCTTTTGTTGTCTCCTTTAATCATTACAGTAGTTGGACTTGGACACTGCTAAATATTTACAGGAGGAATGAAATCATAAAGTCACAAGCCACGGGGAGGCAGATATGTGACTACCCTCTTAAAGCACGTCCTTTGACATATCTTGAAGGAAGACTGGTACTTCATCTTTGAAATATCCTCCTACACACAACTCTGCCATGTATTATTAAAAAACAGGACGTTTTTAGCTGGACACTCA